ACACACATTACTCACTGAGAGAGCGTCTGTTCTCTGATTTCGGCTCTTTGGCTTTGGATTTTGTTGAGTCATGGGCTCGTCTGGGCAGACACTCTGTGCTGCTGGACCTGTGTAATGTGGTCTTTCCCCCGCCGGACTCTGCGTCTGCACTGGACTGTTAAAAGAAGACAAGCAGAATCAGTCAGAAGTGATTCAGCAGTGTAGTTCACCCTCTCTCCAAATGTCACACCGCGGTGCAGGGGGGAGCAACTTTTGAAGAATTCTTCCTCTACACTCATTTTGGTGGGTCAGTATTTGTCATAGGTTTCATTAAGTTACTTAACATGATTTAACCTATGTTACTTTATAGCAGGTGCTGTGAGAGAGCTCATGAAGGCAGAAACATTGTTGCTCTGTTAAACCCATATTAGTTTTTTTTTTTTTTTGAGCTAAATATATACTCACTGGCCACTTTAATAGGAACTGTGCCCCTGCTAATCAGCCAATTATGTGGCAGCAGTTCAATGCATAACATTATCCAGGTACAGCTCTAAAGCTCCAGTTAATGTTCACATTAAAGAAAGGGGAAAATCTGATTTCAGTGACTTTGACCATGGCGTGGTTGTTGGTGCCAGACGGGCTGGTTTAAGTCTTTCAGAAGCTGCTGATCATCTGGGATTTTCACCCACAGCAGTCTGTAGAGTTTACACAGAATGGTGCAAAAAACTTCCAGTGAGTGGCAGTTCTGTGGGCGGAAATGACTTGTTAATGAGAGAGGTCAGAGTAGAATGGCCAGACTGGTTCGACCTGACAGGAAGGCTACAGCAACTCAAATAAACTCGCTTCACAATCAAGGTGAACAGAAGAGCATCTCAGAATGCGCAACAGGGTGGACCTTGGACAGGTGGACAGGCTACAACAGCAGAAGACCACATCAGGTTTGACTTCTGTAAGCCAAGAACAGGAATCTGAGACTACACTGGGCACAGGATCACCAAAACTAGACAGATTGAAAATATGTCTGCCTCAAGGTTCAACATGTTGTGTGTCTCAGATGCTCTTCTGCTTACCATGGTTGTAAAGAGTGGTTATTTGAGTTATTGTTATTTGAGTTATTCCTGTCAGCTCAAACCAGACTGGCCATTCTCCACTGACCTCTATCATCAACAAATGATGTTCATCTTCAGAACTGCTGCTTACTGGATGTTTTTTGCACCATTCTTTTTTAAACTATAAGGACTACTGGGCATTCAAAAATCTCAGATCAGCATTTTCTGAAATATTTGAAAAGTTAGAAAGGTTGCAGAGGAAACTCCAGGCCAGTAAGTTCTGTAAGACCTATGCACATCTGACAAAGAATTCATGATGGTGCATACGTCTGAATTACATACTGGGAGTAACTTAGACTCGTTCTAATGTGTTCACTCACTCACTGAATGAATGTACAAATTATTTATGTATAGCGAGGAGTCTTGTAATGAAGATGCAGTTTCAGGCACTAATAGCATATACTGAATTTCCCTTGAATTTTCTGGGCCGCACTGTAATAAAATGACTCACCGATCGGTCGGCTGTTTTTTTGATGGCATCATGCCATTTACTGATTGTCGGGTAGTCGTCTGATTGCAGAAGCAGCTCCTCACCAGACCTTGTTGTTATCTGTGGATAATAAAGATTGAATACTTAATAAATGTTTCCATAGCTAAATGAGCAGATTATCATATGGCATCTCATGGAAATATTATCAGTCACTAGAATATCAAGAGGAATAAGCCATTTTAAGGTCATGTGACTGTTGTTTGGTGGCGTGAATTGGCGTCAAAGTGTCAAAATGTTATGACAGCATTGGAAGTAGCTGATAAGTGGGGTCACAGGCTTCGAGCTGTACAGAAATGACCCCTTTCAGGCTTCAGTCCAGTTTAGGTGTTGCTTATTCTTTAGATGGTGGTTAAATCCTCAGGCTCAACCTGAGGAATCAGTCCTCTTACATTGGGTTGTGCATCTACAGAAGGGTTGTACAAGCCGGTGCGCAGGGTACCTATACACCATACCTTCCAATTCTCTGTGGAGCTTTTTTCACACACAGAACCGGAACATTATTGGCACACCTTTCACTGGTGGTGTTCGGGCTTGCCATCATTCACAATTGCAGCCATCAAGCTGTACTTTTACACTTGCCATGAAACCTATATGTACCTGTTGAACATCCCATTCCAGATGTAATCCCTCTTGTGCTGTTATAATAACCTCCACTCTTCTGGGAAGGCTTTCCACTAGACCTCGGAGCATGGCTGTGGGGATTTGTACATTCAGCCATGGCTCATTAGTTCTAGTCAACTGTGTGCTTCCAACTTTGTGGCAAGAGTTTGGGGAAGGAACGCATTTGGGTGTGATGCTCAGGTGTCCACAAACTCTTGGCCATATAATGTAGACCTTAGAAATACAAGCTCCTCTTTTTGTTGTTTTTAGTTAGCATTACAGGAGTGTTTATGTAAAGTAGATGACTGCATGGTTAATAAATATAATAAATAGACGACTGCATGGTTGTTGATTTCAAAAGCTTCATTCATCTGTGCTATGCCGTCATGGTAAAGGCTGAATAGGATGTGAGAAACGAATATCCTCCCTCGGGCTCATCGCAGTTCGCATGATACCTTGCTAAATGCTGCCCTTGTTTTCTCTGAGAGCCGTAACTGCACATGGCACCGTCAGACAGCATAACTGTCTTTCACAGAAAATCCTACCAAACACCCCTGCTAAGGTCAGCGTTGTCACATACCCTTGGAATTTCCTGATGCTTGCTGTTTGACACTGCATTCGTACAAAAGCGAGAATTGTTTTAACATTGCTAGTATCTAAAAATACCAGATGGTATCACAGGGCATCTTGTTCTCTCCTAGTCCCTCTACATAGACACTGAAAGTTTGTGCCTTTTGGAAAGAAGCTTTTCTGATTTTGAGAGAGAATGGCAGATGGGATTGGAGCGGTCTCTTTGGGGATAGGGGCATATACAGGGAATGATTTGGGGCAGAATGTCAGAATGGGTTTGCTAGATCTCCATTTTTAAATGTAGAACACGTGAGTGAGTGTGTTTGTTCTAAATCTCAGTCTGCCTATGGACATGAACATTATAGTTTGTGCAACTGCGGACTTGGTGGGATCAAATATGTGCTCTAGTAAACCATGCACAAAAGAAGCTGAGATGTTTACGTATGTCTTTGTCCTTTCTTGTAAAATGAAAGTTGCAGCTGTATTAGTACTTTAATACACATCTGAGACCACTCAACCTTACAGTAATCATGAATCCAGAAAACTAGTTGCTAGTCCAGCATAAGAAATTAAACATTATGCAATCTAACTCATAGCGGCATGAGCTTTCATTCACTGTTAGCATTTTGGGTAAACAATTCCTTTAACTAATTAAAGGCTAAACTTCTGTTAACTCCTCTTTAATGACCAGTCAGCTTCCTGGCAGTAAACCTTCTTCTGAGGTTTAAAGGAAAAGGAAAATTTCTTTAAACATCAAAGAATCTCACTTTAGTTTATTGACCTCAGGCAGATTATCACAGAAATAGAAAGAAGAAACAGTCATTTCTCACAAAAGGAGTGCACTTTTTTTCAATCTGATTTTAGTCTACTAACTATTCATATACATATTCATATCTTGTCTTTCGGCTACCACTCATAATCCCAGTCCCTAATGCTTTTACAAATGTCTGTTTGCAATTTATCTCTGGTGCAGCCCATGTTAACATGACGCAAAAGTGAAAACCGAGATGATAACTGTAGGCGAGTTTGTTTGAGCTGTAGCTGGACATTCGGTCCGAAAGAGGTGAATAGAAGGGATCATCACAGTCTGAAGCTTTTTGAGAAGAACCAAAACAGTTAACAAGGATTCAGCTTTTGGGTTTGTTTTTTTATTAACAAAAAAAATTTTCGAAAATGTGGTAACCACATAAACTGGAGGACACTTTTTGCAAAGTGTATGTTGTAATATTTAAAAAATGATAAGAAGTTCTATCTCCAAACTCAGATAAACCTGGTTTAATAAGGTTCTCTTGACCAGCCAGTCAGTATCCAGCATGGACACAAGTATGCAGACACCTGACTTTTTGTGCTTTATCTTTATATGCTTGTTGAACATCCCATTCCAGATTTTCCCCATTTCCTGTTATAATAAGCTCCACTCTTCTGGGAAGGCTTTCCACTAGAGTTTGGAGCGTGGCTGTGGCGATTTGTGATCATTCAGCTACAAGAGCATTAGTGAGATCAGGCGCTGATGTTGGTGAGGAGGTCTGGGGTGCAGTCGGTGTTCCAGTTCATCCCAAAGGTGTTCAGTGGGGTTTAGGTCAGGGCTCTGTGCAGGACACTCGAGTTCTTCCACTCCAACCTTCACACACCATGTCTTCATGGAGCTCGCTTTGTGCACAGGGGCGTCGTCATGCTGGAACAGGTTTGGGCCTCTTAGTTCCAGTGAAGGGAAACTGTAATGCTACAGCGTACGAAGACGTTCTATACAATTGTGTGCTTCTAACATCACGGCAACAGTTTTGGGGAAGAACCACATGTGGCTGTGATGGTCAGGGGTCCACGCACTACATAGTGCACCCCGAGTGCCTGGGGCTGGCGCCCAGCATGGGGCCCAAACCCACAATCCTGAGATCAAGAATCCCATGCTCTGCCATCTGAGCTAGCTGGGTACTCTACATCTGACTCATAAGAGTAATAAAAAATAAATGTACTGTACTTGCTGGTTTTACAACATATGCCAGTCTTTGGCTCAGCAGAAAAAATTAATATTGTGGCTAACATCAGATAACATTAGCAGTAAATATTACAGACATTAGCTGACCACATGCAATGTGCTTAATACACCATAGCGTAACAGGAGACTGAAGGTTATGTAGCACATTTTAAAGGCGTGTTTGTGTGGTTGCACAGAAACGTGTATTCTAATGCATTTTAATATTGTTAAATGTGGTACAATAAAAGTTCAAGGTCTTTTTTGGAGGATACTAAATGAAAATGTCTTTCTCTGCTGGGTTTATCATCACTTTTGAGTTACTTAGCAAGATTGCTTTTTTAGAAACATTGTAAAACCAAATAGTACTTGATTAGACAGAATAATAAGGTTCTTTTTACTTTTAAATTTTACTTTCAGTTTGAGAATTTGTATATAAGTTTGAAGTTGAGGTGTAAATTCAGATTACAGAACGTTAGGATTTTGCTAGCTAGGACATCAGAACTTTGATATACAGAAAAGTCCTAACTGTTACTTGTCACTGGTGTGGTAACCTGAAAGGTGTTCCTTTTTTAACCTTCAGCATGTATATTTCCCTTGGGGAAAATGATTCATTTACATTTTAAGTTCATTCAAGGCATTGGTTTTTGAAACCAGTCTTACAAACCCACTGCTCTGCAGTTTTCCCTGCTCCTATATGCCTGACCCAGTTCATGAGAAGCTTGACCATTAGCTGATCAGTCTGATCCTAGGTCTTTAAGGTCCAGCTATGTAACAGTTTTAGGTAGACTCCCTTCCTTTCATATGTATTCACACCCTTGAACTTTTGCATATTTTGTAGTTTCACAACCAGGAACTGAAACAGATTGGCATTCTTTTTTTTTTTTCCCCCTCATCCCAGTGACAAGCGTGAATATAAAGCCTTTCCGTAATGATTTTTCAATCAGCAAAATCATCATGTTGTGTATGTAAGAGTTGCGGTGAGTACAAATTAAATGATGACGTGCAGGTGTAAGAGAGGAAAATGTTTCTTAAAGTGGCTTTACGTGAATCACTGCAAAACTCTTACAAAGTTCTGTGTTTTTGTAAGGAAAGAAAAAGGAGCATAGCATGAATGCAATGCCTTTTTATGCCTGTGTTTAATGAGGAGTAATTTTAATATCCAAGCTCACACTTGGATTGCTAATTAATGTTTAAAAAGGCAAAGCAGTACAAAGAGCAGAATGCCATTTGTAACTTCACATTTATGTTTTTCTATTAAATTAAACATTCATTTGAGCGCTTCATAAAGACACATCTTTGAAGCACTTTAGGTTGTGGGATTAATTATCTCCAGTTTTACACTGAACTTGGAATGAGCCTGATTTAGAAGGCCATCAACTTTAATAAGCTAGAAAACAAAGGAGACGTGGGGGTGAGGTGTTTTTTTTCTTCCCACCAATGGTGGAACGATGCTTCAAGCTTGAGTTAAAGATCAAACAAACAAAAACATGGTCAGGATGTGCTCTGCGCATTGTAGTCATTTTTGTGGCATACTCTCACCAACATGGGGCTTCCCAAATGCTACGACTTTCTTAGGTTTCATCTCAGAGCCTGGATATTGGATACAGCAATTCAAGGATGGGAGTTTAAAAAGCATAACTGGCCTTTCTCTCTCCCAGCGAGCAACAGTGCTCGCCTCCAAAGCTCAAGCTGCACGATGATGTCGCATGAGCGACGGTTTGAACAGATGCAACAGCTTCACATGTCACAGGAAGCTCATGTTGTTTAACACCCTCTCCATGTTTGGTAGCTATTTTGAGTTAGTGTACAGTAGGACTTGCTCATGGTTAAAAGGATGAGGGGGAAAAAAAGACAAACTGAGTCCATCTGAACCCGAGTCTCTCTTCTACAGCAGTATATGCTGAGCATAACATCCTGCTAATATCTTTACCCTGTTAATTCTGCTAACACAGAATGTGTTTCCATTTTTAATGGTGTCCGTATCAGGGATCTTCATTTCACGGATTTGTTCTTGAGAATTTTTATGCTAGAAAGATATTTCATATTTGTAACTGATTTGGATTGAAGCCTCTTGATTGAGACTGAGATTCATGTATGCACACCTTTTGGTTCAGAAACACTTTCAGACCACATCGACCACAAGAAATAAACTTTTTGTGTGTGTGTGTGTGTGTGTGTGTGGGGGGGGGGGGGGGGGGGGGGGGGGGGGGGGGGGGGGGGGGGGGGTCTCTAGGGATGTCACAATATGTTTTGCATTGACTTGATTTCAACTCAATTTCAAGAATATCCAAGAACTCCTAAAAGCAGTTCTTTATGATTCTTGCTGCATCTTATTTTTTTTAATATATTTATAACCTACTTTTTTTTTTTTTTTTTTTTCTTCCAGTATGCGTATTTCCATTTGGGCCTTTAGAACAGAAATTTCTGAAGGTTCACCAAAACATTTCTAGCCGTATTGTGCGTCACATTTCCCATTTCTACATTCCTGAAGACTTGAAATAACCCAAATAAATTATAATTGTAAATAATTATTAAATTATTATTCTTTATGCTTAAAGTTAGCTAAAGCATATAAATAGTTTTATATGCTAATGAATTTCCTTTGGCCTTATTCAAAAATGGCTGGTAGAAGTCCAAATGTATGAACTGTGTTGAGGGATTGGATGACAAAATATGTAGTTTTTCTCTTTAGATAATCGTCCTGCTGTTATTTTCATAAGCCCCATTTGCGATCTTATTGTCTCGACAGTCATCAGCAAGATTTATATAACAAATGACAACCTGAAAAGCATTTCATAATTACTCAAGACAACACATCACTGCATTAGCTCATATTAATAAATAATCCTCTCTGCATTGGACTAGTTAGCTACCCCATCAGGCTAAGTAGCTTGGGCTTCCATCCAGTCTCTCTGTGCATGCCTGAAAGTGTGAGAGTGATATGGTCGATCTTTAGATCCTTAAACAGCCTCCAAGGTGCCATATGAGGAATTACAGCACGCTTTATATCACCGATAAGTCATCTTCGTTGGTATCAAGTCGGATTTTGACTTTTTCCTCTAGTCAGATTCAAATTAGGTGTCTTGTATCAAAGCCCTGGAGTCCTTTTGGATGTTCTTAGTCCTTCTAATGAGAAATTCCTCTCCTGTACTCTCACAGTGCGTGCTTTCTGCTTGCAATGTAGAGCTCTTTAATGAAATACGTCATTTAGGTTTAACACTGGATCCTTGTGTCTTTATTCATTTCATATCAGCGAGTCATCTTTTCAGAACTAATCTAACATTTTCCCATTGCTGAAGACAATGGGCCTCATTTATCAAGCTGGATATGAACGGATTTATGCCTAAATCATGCGTACGAGAGTTTACACAAGAAATTTGGTATTCATGGAAATCCTGTTTGTATCCTACCCATGCTTCTGAGTGTTTGTAAGTTTACGCATAAGAAGACTAACTACCTTGACTTGATCGCATTGAAATCATATACAGTCCAATTTGCATGGATTACTGCACTTTTACATCTGGAATATACTGTCGAGGTTAACGTGCTTATTTGGATTACATTTACCGCATTTAGCAGACGCACTTATCCAGAGCGACTTATAGAAGAGCTTTGGAGTATCTATCAAAAGCACATCCTCATGCTAGTCCACTAGGTGAATGCTAGGTCAGGGACTACGAGTACCATTCTGAGAACATTTTGTGAAAACCAGTCAGTTTATTTCATTGGCATGTAATTACAGAATATAAAAGATAAAGAACGTGAGCCAACACAAACCCATGAATTCCGATAAATAAAAGGAGCATTCAGTTATGACGGTAAAAATGGCGGTGTATAAACAGAGGTTGTAAGCCATAAACAAGTGCCTCAACTGACGGAAGATTTAGCTCTCGCTTATCATTATTAATATTATACAATATAAACTATTTTTATTGGCGTAGTAATGAGTCAAAATAACTTCCACTTCTGTTTTTCAGGTTTTACCCTGATCGATTGTTTCATGCTCACAGCTGTCTGTGCTCTTGAACTTTTATGGAGTTTTGTGGGCGTCACAACATGCAAATGAGCTGTGTCAGGAACACGCCGGGTTATTTACAAGTGGTTGGCATTCATCAACATGCACATGCAAGTACAAAGAAAATCAGCATTTCTGAAACCTTTTTAAATCTGACGCAAACATTTACATCCAACTTTACTACTTTACTAAAAGCTTGTGGCCATTTTTAATTCATTTTCATGTGTGGTGTGGGTTTTTTTTTTTTGTTTTGTTTTTTTTTAATGAAAACTGGTTTTGACCAAATTTTACTTTGACCTCTGTAATCAAGAAAATATCAATATATTTTACCAAATCACATGGAAATGTTTTTATTTAGGACACTTTCTAACCTTCCCTTGGTGTCCATCAGGTCAATTCCCAGATCCACCGGGAACTAAGTTTCCCAGAACACACCGCGGCCTACAAACATGGCTGCCCAGGACTACACTCCCTAACAACCACAGACTTTGTCTCGTTTATAGTCACACACCTGAACACAATCGCCACCACAATCACACTATATAAACCACTCACAGTCACTCATCGTGAAGTAGAGCTCAGTGTGTCTCTACGTGACCTGACCAAGCTGTTTTCTTGTGTAGCGTTTCTCTGGTTTTTGACATTGACTAGGTGCACGTCAAACTCCATTTAAGGTCTATATTCAGGTTGCAGCCATATCCCAAATACGATGTTTATATGCGTACAGGCATCGGAATATTCCTGTATTCCTGTATTGTTGCGAGTATGCCGATCTACACATGATCTTTTCCTCTCCCGCTGTTATTTCCCGGGAGATTCAAGATGCTGCCGTTGGTTATAGAGTATGCTCGGCTATTGGTTTTATTACTACTTTTTCACACTAATTTAATTAGGACTCTAACACTTCTCACCATCAAAAATGCCAGACATCCCCGCCTCGA